TATTAGAACTTCAAGCCCAAAGAAAATATTCAGTTTAACCTTTGTAATCTAGTTTTCCCTCTCCAATTGTCAACTAGCAAAAGAAAGCAACAGAAATTTGCAGTCGGCGAATTACTTTTCTTTATCTTGGCTTGGGTTGTCATGAAATTATACCATGCATAAATCATTATTTATTTGCTAACGCTGTTTAACTGACACTAATTTATGTTATTCGATGCAGACTTTCTTGGAGTATTAGTTTTATGTTTTTAGATTATGTATTCCGGTAGAGGGAGTAATGCTTATGGGCAACAATCATATAGTGGGCAATATGGTCAGAATGTAAGTCTATTTGCTGAAAGATTGTATTTTGTTTTTGTTTTGTTCGTGACATTAACTGTCTTGCTTATTAAATGGGTTTTTGCTAAATGTTCTTTTCTTTTCTTTTCATGTGGGAAGATGCATGTGGTTTTAATTGCATGGGTAGACCTGTTTTATTGATTTTTGGGTTTGTTTGTAACAGAGCTATTTTGAGGCTGAAAAAAGAAATTTTATTAAGAGTTAGCTGCTTTAAGTTTCTTGAGCACTAGATGCTGATAAAGAAAATAAAAAATTAAGCAATTATGTTTTGGGTAAAAGGTTTTGCAATGAATAAATATTTCTTGCTTTTTTGTAAAGATAAAATAAATAGAGGAGATAACCCGGACTGAATATATTAAGAAAATCAAACTGAACATTAAGAAACTTTTAAGTTAATGCAAAAAAGTTAGAGGATGTTTTCTTCATGCTTGTGAGGGTTTTTTATTTGACTTGCCAATCATACATGTGATTCTTGAGGTACTTCTTTCCTATTTGTATATTATGTAGTTGGGAACTGCATATTCTGGGACTTCAGTTGGTGGGACTGATGGGAGCTCTCAAATTTCCTTGTCGTCTCGGCATGCGTCAATGCTAAGTGCTTCTCAGGAAGCAGAAATTGGTGGTTATAGAGCTCATCCGTCCGCTGCGGTTCATTATGGGGGACAGTATGGGTCTTTGTATGGATCAGCTGCTTTAAGTGGTACTCAGCAGGTAGATGGACTGATTCAGCTTCTTAATGCTTTTTATTTGTTAATTATGCAAGAGACCTTTGCAGTCTCGATTTTAACAGCTAGATTTTTGGATTGAAACTGGCACATGTAGTT